GGCGGCGCACACCCGCAGCTCCTGCAAGCGATCGGGCGTCTACATGCTTACCGTTTTCCCTCTCGTGTGCGCGCTGAGTGCCGCACACGAGAAGGGGGAGGGGCAGGACGTCTCAAGACACCCTCCCGCGCCTAGCAGACGTCCGTCCGGCCGTTCACAAACGGCCATGGACGGAAGGTAGTTAATTATACTGCAGTTTTACTTCATTATACTGCAGTTATACTACAGTTATTTTTTGTAAGGGAAGTCTCCACGCTCAAGGATCCCCAGATAACTGTGCTTTGCTACAAATACATTTTTAACCATATTATATCAATTATTCGGCCCAATCTAGAATAATAAGCTGTAAAGTGACATAAAGCACTTAACTTAAATGATGTTTCTTAATCCCATCTTCTTCTTTCCTGTCGTTTTCATCTGTCCCTCCAGCGCTGTCTCCGATCCAGCACTGACTCCTCTGTGCTTGCTGGCACTTCCTGTCCCACGGTGCCTGCATGCGGGTGCACGCCGCCCATATACTTAACTTGTGTCTCTCCTAGTCGTCCCGACCGAAAATCTGAACTGCACATGCGCCCGCCCCAAGATGCTTTGCGGCCACCCGAGAATTTTCAGATTTTCGGACGGGAGCACGCGGTGAACACAGGGGTAAGTTTAACCTCTTGCCGTCCGCCCGTAGTAGAAAAACGGACGGACGGCACTGCTGCAATGCTTTTGCATATATCTACTGCTTGCTATTGTAATATATTTATAGTTTATTTGTACTTTAATAGGGGAATATAACAATGTAATATAAATATGTAACATTTCTGGCTAGAGTTAGATATATCCTAAAATGCAAATACATTGTATGCTTCAGTGGGCTATAAACATAATCCAGGGTTGTACAACTTCACCCATGCTTATCCATTTTTTACCATACTGGTACACAGACTTGATTTTAGTATGTGGCTCAAAAAGTACTGAAGACTGAAGTTGGTCAGCATAATAACAAGGCACTAGCATTCAGGAGGTCAGAACAGACAGTCTGCATATTTCTCTCACAACAGATATACTTTTGAAGCATCTGTAAACCTTGAGGCTGCTACATTTAAAAATCTTCCTCAAGTCTTTATACTTTTTTTTTTCTTAGCTTTATTAGCAGTAACATGGCCACCATCTACCCCCTTTTATATATGAGCAGCAAGGGTGGGGGGAGGAGAGTAGTAATGCTTTGCTGTGTTGACAGCTATACTCCCTACATGAGCTGATGGCAATTAACAGCTGCAGGAGCCTTGAAGCATGACTGCTAGTAATCATTGAAGCTATCTAAAGTAGTCTATATTACAAATTATTATTAAATTCTACTGATGGAATTGTAGTCTTCAGGAGGATTATTTAAAAATGGTTAATTCCAAAGTGTTCTCTAGTCTAATATTTAAAAAAATACGTTGCTATTTTTTATTGTAGGAGGAAGTAGAACCATTTCCCGATGAAGGTGAAAACGTTTTACAACAACTCTATAAGTTTATGGAGGACAGAGGTGAGAATCAAATATTTCATATATTGTATTTCTGTTTGAAAATGCCACAGGTGTACTTATGGTAAAAAATAAATAACTAAATAGCCATTAAAACAGAAGATTACACTTTCTTACCAACCCCACTTTAACAGTTTGTTTTGGAGATCACATTTACAGTTCTATTCAATAAAACAGCACAAGGAAAACTTGCAAAATGCAGTAGCCAAACCAGGTACAATCTATGTTGTACTAGTGTGGCTTCAGTAAAATTAAATCAGTTTGGAAGCTATAGTTCCACATGCTTTGCCCCTGCTGCTTATTGCTGCTTTTATTGTTTGTTTGATGAATACATCTATAAAAGGGTTACCTGTGAATCTTGGGGGTTTACAGAGCCCACAGGCTTACTAGGGGCCTTCAACAGATGAGAAATGCAAGGTCTTTTTTTTTTTATTATTCATTTTTTAAATTAATTTTGTGGTTGTACAAATATAACAAACCATTAAAACAGTAGAACTAATACAACACAATTCACATTAAAGGAGAACTTTGGGGTTAAGGCTTTTCCACATAGTTCTCCTTAGGGTAACGGGAGGACACAAACTAGCGTCCTAACGTCACCCTAAGCTCAGTATACCGCGAGCTACAGCTCACAGTATACTGAGACGCCACAGTATACCGCGAGCTACTGCTCACGGTATACTGAGACGCTGAAGCGGATCCCGACAATTATGTCTGGATCTGCCCAGCTGCGTGAGTGACAGAGGCAGAGCCAGCTATCTAGAGGCAGAGCCAGCTGTACCCGCCCCGTCCGTTCCGCCAGTCAGCGCTGGCGGAGCGGGGAATCCAGCTCCTCCCCTGTCACGGCAGAGGGCTGTGACAGGATCGGGAGGTGAGCAAACGCCGGTATGTGTTCGCTCACTTCCCGATCTACTGAACCGACCTGTGACAGTCTCATTGTCACAGGTCGGCTAGAACTATGAGGTGAGTAAAAAGCAATCACCTGATAGTTCTCCTTTAAGACGTGCACTATACCACAAGTGAATCTCTGACCATACAGTCAAATGGGAATACCAGTGACAGAGGAGACTACATCCACTACATCTTTCCAAAAGCACCACAACTCAGGATTGGCCCAGACAATGTGGAGAAGGCCGGCAGGAGCATGCGGACACCACCAGTATTTAGAGGATCTGGAAGGACACATGACAGCGAGTCTAGCAGGCGGGAAATAAACACCATGAACAAGTTTGTATGTAATCAATCAATCTCGGGTATAGATTAGCATGGTTAACCAGTTGACATCCGCGGTGTTAAACCCCCTTCCCATCCAGGCCATTTTTCAGTATTCAGCGCTGCGGTAGGTTCGCCACACATCCTCCCAGTCCTCTGAGTTTAGACCAGGACAATCCTTCATCCAAATCAGGAAAGATAGAGAAGGCTTGTCACACTCCTTACCGGATATCCTCGTTATCAAGAATGACTGCACATGATGCCGCTTGTTGCAAATCATGTGAGAAATGTCACCAGCACACCAAAATCCTTTAAGGATCATCAATCGTTAATTTATTAAGAACCTATGTCAAATACCCAAGTGCTTTTGGGCCACACAGGGTCCCTTTATCAGGCATAGCAATGACATAATTGGAAACAACAATGTGATTTCAAATAGACATACAGCAGAAGAAACGCTCTTAAACTCCACTGACGTCCCTATGACATCACAAACCCATCAAAACAGCTGTGAACATGCCTAAAATACATGACAAAGCAGACTTCAATATCTAAAACTAATCCAGTGTCAGTATAGGTTACTAGTGAAATCCATGGTATGTGAGATTGCAGAAATGTTACCTTGTGAGATCGTACAGGTATGAGGTCTGAAACGTTTCTATAATTGGTATCACGTTGTGCTGCCAGATGTCGGGTTGCCATGGTGACTAAACGCCGCTGTTTGGCCCAATCAGATGTGTAGACAAGCAGAGGAGCCGCCCACTGGGGCATGTGCAGCGTGGGATGTGTATTGTGCTGTCCAACAGCAGCTGTCAGCTGCGGAGTCAGAGTTGCCACTGAGCATGCACATAACGTGGTCCATCAGTCACACCGAATGGAACGCATGGCCATGTTGTGCTCGGAGAGCCGAACTCGGTGGATGATTCCCTAGGCAACCATCAACAATCTGGATCACACACACCCATTGGCTGAGGTGGCGATCCTTACAGAAACAGCACAAATGTCATTACACAATGTGTTGTATGGATGTGAGGCATAGAATAACACGTTTGTTTTGCTAATTCCAAATAGAACGCTATATTAATGGTGCAAGGCATATACAGGCACATGAGAACAGATAAAGCAATTGTCGATATTGTACCATAGCAATGGTAATGAATCAATCTGCTGAGATTACAGAAATCAGACTAAAGTAACATAGTGGGTTGACACAGGATGGTTATACATGTGTAACGGCAACCGCCGTCACCGCTCACCTGGGAATCGGGCGAGGAGCTACCCACCTCTCTAGATGATCTGATCCAGCAATCTGTCTCCATCGACCGACGCCTCCGCGAAAGACGACTTGAACGGTCCTACTCTTACACCTCCCCTCATCCTCGTAGGTCTCGTTCACCATCTAAAGATGAGTCCATGGAAATAGGGGCGGTGCGTGGGCCATTGACCCAGGCAGAAAAGGACAGAAGAAGAGCCCGCAATCTTTGCCTGTATTGCTCCTCTCCTGACCATATCGTATCCACTTGCCCCCTCCTTAAGAAGAAGTCGGAAGGTAATATATCACACATATGTAAGGTGAACCAGTCTGAACCCTATTCTAATAGGTATATTCTTGTTCCTCTCACCCTACAGTGGGACCACGAGAGGATCACCGTTGATGCCATGGTGGATACGGGGGCTTGTGGCAATTTCATTGATCTGCAAATTGTAACCGCCAATAAAATTCCACGTGTGTTAAAGCTTACCCCCTTGTCTGTCACTTTCATTGATGGTTCTACCTCCTCTTCAGGGCCTGTGACCACCCAAACGCAACCTCTGATGGTTACCTGTGGAGAGGGGCATACAGAATACCATGTATTTGATGTTATCCCTTCTCCCTTGTTCCCTGTCGTACTTGGCCTTCCGTGGTTAACCTTACACCAACCAGCCATAGAATGGACCCAGGGGAAACTACGCCTAGACTCCCAGTATTGCAAGGAGACCTGTTACCCTATCTGTCCCATCTTCATAACAGGCCCAGTGTCGCCAGTGCTTCCGTCACACCTCCATGACTTCGCTGATGTTTTCAGCAAACGAGGGGGCTGATACTCTGCCACCCCATCGACCCTATGACTGTCCTATAGAGCTGATCCCTGGCAGTCCCATTCCTACTGGTAGGATCTACCCTTTGTCACAGCCAGAACTAGCCCACCTTAAAAGTTACCTCGAACCTTTTACTTCTGTTTATTTTGGCTGTGATGCTTGAACCCTAACTCCCCGTTAAGATTGGGAGTGAAACCAGGGTTCCGTCTGATTGGCCTCCGCAGTTGTGATCCACAAAACCCCAACCTCACACCAGGTGTTACAACATGTAAATAACAGGGACGGATAGCAATGGTGCTACAACCAGCAGTGGCAGTACCAGGTAGGGTTGCCACCTGTCCAGGTTTCACCCGGACAGTTCGGGTTTTGAATGCTGTGTCCGGGTTTCATGGCACCAGGAAACCTGTTTATAATAACCTGTTTATTAACGACATTGGGGACGGAGTAAACAGCGATAAAGACCTAGTGTGTTTTTTTGAGCCCAAAAAAATATAAGACAGTGTCTTATTTTCGGGGAAACACGGTATGTAACTAAGATGTCAAGCAGACAGGGGCAACCAAAATTAAGATAGGGGCTACTGGCCCCCCACTGAAAATAGTCTCAACTGTGTTATTTACATATGGGTGGTGCCCATGACATATGAATAAGCCACGACTCATTCTCCCAAAAGACTATGTCCGTGTGATGCGATAGTGTTCGGGTTTCGCTTGAAGAAAAGGTGGCAACCCTAGTACCAGGGCAACAACAGTAAAATTAACATAATTGTACTACAGACTACTCCTATGTATATGAGAAAGTTTTTCCATCAAAAAAATGTTTTGGTAGAACGAAGTACATTGCCATGTGGTCAAATGAAGTGGCAGGCCACCGTATGTTTAAACCAATCAAGATGGTATATAACGGGGGAAAACATTTTGAATGTATGTGGCTAAGAACCAAGGGAAAAGGATAATGTGACCCACCAGAAAATATTGATAAAAATTAGAGCCCCCAGTCTAGCTGAAGGACCATTAGACATATTTTATGTGCCCCTCCATTCCAAAGAAATTCTGAAATCAATTTGTCCATTCAATCCTACCAATAAGCAATAGAGACAAGTTGTGCCATGCTGAGCGTCTATTTTAAAAAGAGGACTACAATCGTACACATTTAGCAGTATAAAATCTAGAACCGAATTAGTAATATGTAGACCAAGATACTTGAAGCGGAGCAGCAGGCAACCCAGAGAGGGGGCCCGGGTGTACCAAGGGAAGAAACTGCGACTTACCCCAGTTCACTGACAGTGCAGAATAACTGGATAAAGTATTCAGAATATTAAGGGACTCAGTAAGGAAAGGGCCTGTATCAGTGAGAAACAAAATGAAATCATCGGCATACAAGGCTGTTTTCTCCTCTAGGTTTGCAATATGAAGGCATTTCATCAGGGGAGACCTGCGGAGGGCTAGCACCACCCATTAAATCACTAGGGCAAACAGTCATGGTGATAAGGGGCAACCCTGACGGGTGCCCCTGCAGACCTGAAAAACCGGGGAGAGGGCAGAGCTTATTTTGATGGCTGCTTTTGGATGAAGGTATAAGACAATAGGCCATTTACAAAAGGCAGGTTCATACTTCATGTGACATAAAACCCCCAGTGCATGGTACCCCCAGTGCATGGAATCAAAGGTCTTTGCCAGGTCCAATGATATCAGCACTCGGGCTCCTGGGTTGT